TCAAAAAACCAGCTCTTAGTTTTATTGATTTTTTTCTATTTTCTTTTCAATCTCTATTTTATTTATTTCCTCTTTGCTCTTTGTTATTTCTTTCCTTCTGCTGACCTTAGGTTTTGTTTGCTCTTCTTTTTCTAATTCTTTTAGGTGGTAGGTTAGGTTATTTATTTGAGATTTTCCTTGTTTTTTGAGGAAAGCATGTATTGCTACAAACTTCCCTCTTAAGACTGCTTTTGCCGTACCCCATAGATTTTGTATGGTTGTGTTTTCACTGTCATTTATCTCAAGATATTTTTTAATGTCTTCTTTGATTTCATTGTTGACTCATTGGGATTTTTTAGTAGCATGTTTTTTAGTCTCCATGCAATTATCTTTTCCTTGTTTCTCTTTCTGTGGCTAATTTCTGGTTTCATGCTGTTGTGGTCAGAAAAGATGCTTGAGACCGTTTCTATCCTCTTAAATTTGGTGAGACTTGTTTTGTGTCCTAGTTTGTGGTCTATTCTAGAGACTGTTCCATGTGCACTTGAAAAGAATGTATATTCTGCTTTTTTTGATGTAATTTCCTGAAAATATAAATTAAGTCTAACTGTTCTATTATGTCATTTATGATCTCTGTTGCCTTATTGATTTTCTATCTGGAAGATCAGTCCAATGATGTTAGTGGGGTGTTAGAGTCTCCTACTATTGTATTCCTGTTAATTACTCCCTTTATGTCTGTTAGTATTTACATATTTAGGTGCCAATTCAATGACTTTTGGTAAATTTATTTACATTATGTAAACAACATCCCAATTAAGATAAAGAATGCTTCTATCACCCTATAAAGTCCCCCATTTTCAGTCATACCTCCCCATAGATAATTTCTGTTCTGATTTCTATCCTTGTAAACTAGTTCTTCCTGTTCTACAACTTCAAATAAATTAAATCATACAATATATATTATTTTTGTGTTTCAGTTGATGTTTTTTAATGAGAAAAATTATTGTGTAATAACATGATATTTGTAATAATGTACATAGTTAGTTCAAGAATATGGGAAGCTAAAGAAGTATAAACCAAACTTTGCTAACTCAGAATTTTTAGTTAAGCATATTTTGGAATGCCCTTTCTCAGATGTGTGGTATGGTTCAAGAGCAGACTTTACAATTTGACATTTATGACCAGCTGTTACCCACTATCACCCTGAATCTGTTTGAGCCTTGTCCATAAATATTCAGTAATGTGATCACCAGCATAATTGGTGAAATATAATATGACACAATGTAAAATGTGACCATAAATTTCTCACTGTTTCAGTGTGTTGATAAAATAAACCCTGTAAGAAAAAGCAAGAGGCATTTATGATAGCCTAAAGAGATTTTACATACCTATAACTTTAAAAAAATGCTTGATACTTGTGAATCTAAAATATTTTAGATATAATGTGTAAAGACTGAGTAAAGGTCAAGTTATTAAGTATATCAGTGGGAAGAATTTAGTGATTCATAGGAAGATCAATGAAGATAAACAAGTTGAAAAGCAGAATCTATTGAGAAAAAGTAAAATGATATAGAAATATTGAACCCAGTGGAAGAAATATATAATAATAAGAAGCTACCTCCCCTCATCCTCAAAGGAGTAATAAGATTTGAGTTGTAATGTGAAAGACTTGAGCTTACTAAAATGGAGATTTGGCAGCGAGTATTAAGTATCACAATAGTAAACTCTTTGGAGAGGATTAACTTTAATGCTTAAAGAATGATCAGAAAAGTCCCATTTTATATGGAATAGTTTACATCCTACTTGAAGCTCACTCTCCTGATGATATAACAAAAGAGGAAAATCTGAGAAACAATATTATGTAATGTTTTACTTGGGTATATATGTTCCAGATTACAAGCTAACGCTTAATATATTTAAGTATGTGCACACACATACACAGGCACGCACACCAGTCCCACCAAGGAAACAAACATTCAACACATCTTACATAGGCTAAACTAGGGGTTGCTATGACAACAGAGTATATGAAATATGCTTTTTTCTGTTTCTAAAATGGCATCTCTTCTGTTTAGCTCAAAGCTCTCTAAAAAGTAAGACACATTACAATAAGTAACTTAAGTACTAGAAAGAGGTTTATACAAAAAAGAAAATTTTATAACCAATCTCTCTCTTCTAGATTTCCTTTTCTTCTCCCTCTTTTCCAATTATAGTTATCAACTCTGAGAGAAAGAAGTAAACCATAACAGTAACCAAAAGGCAATCAGCAAAACTACTGCTGTCATGGGGAACGTATGGTGATCTTTTAGTTCTTTGCATGGAGAGCAGTTATTAAAACAAATGGAGTGTTAAAGTTGCCTTTAGATAATATAGTAATTATACTCCTATATCTATTACCCTTTACTACACTCCCTCCAATAGGTAACAGGATCCTATTAATGAGCAAATCTATCATAGAAAAACAAACAGTTTGCAGTTCTAAATAATTATTTATGCTGTAATTACTACTGGTTTTGATGTTTAGCTCTTCATTGCTATTTATTTTAAAAAATCAAAATATCTTCATGGAGGAAATTATCCTGATAAACACTTAGTGCTGATTTTCAACCCTGAAGTAAACAATAAATTGTAGTGTATGAGTTGACCTTTGGATGCATTAACAAAGCTAAGTCACGTTACTGAGTACCAAATATATGCCTAAAGTCCAGACAGGCTTGAAAGAAGACAGGCAAAGAAAAAAGAAAGGTAAAGAGCAGGGGAGTGAAAATGAGAGAAAGAGTAAACAGAAGAAAATGGCGGCAAGTTATAAGTGCCTCTGACAGTAGCAGACATTCATCCCCAAAGTAAAAAGTGATCTAGGGAAAAAAAAAAAACTGTTAAGTACAATCAGAAAAATATTTGAGTTCTTTCCCTAAGAAATTTGTCTCAATATTAGCAAGTTAAATACCTACTCTAAATTTGTCAGATAATAGGCATACTTATCTTTGCAGAGTCTTGGATCAATGAAATTCCAATAGTGATCAGGTACTCACATTGTTGATAAAATTATCTTCTCAATAAATCTTTGCTAACACAATTGTGATCTGTTTGATAATTAGGTACAGTAATGTATTTTTCATGGAGTTATTCAGAACCTTGTAACTAAGAATGAACCTGTCTTCTGCAGGAAAATGCATTCAGTGGCCTGCCCATCTTTCCAATTCTTCAAACTCATGATTCACTCATCTGCATAACAATAAAGCTTATTTTATTGTGAGAAGGTATCAGAAAATCTATTTAAAATCTAAGAATATGATATTCTAGTCCAAAGAGGGGGAGAATGACTGCTTTTTTGCTTTAATATATATCATCTTTATAATGTCACATACTCTTTTCCTCCTTTAAAGTTGTTTAACATTGCAACTCATGTTGCCAAGTAAAGATTTGTAATTCAAATATGAAAATCATTAATTTATTTGTGCTTATTTTTTAAGACCAAAATATGCATTGCTGGATGAATGCACCAGTGCTGTCAGCATTGATGTTGAAGGAAAGATATTTCAGGCTGCAAAAGGGGCTGGAATTTCCTTACTTTCTATAACACACAGGCCTTCTCTTTGGTAAGTGTTTCCAATGCTAATTTATGATAGACAATTTTTCTTTACATTTCTGAAAGAATAACTTTGCTAAACTTTTCACTATACAGCATAAGACATTTCACTTATTTTCCACCTGTATTTCTGTTAAGGTTAAACTATGTCTAAAAGAGTAAAATCACTCTCAAGGTGAAGGTTGAAGTTCATATGTTTGATAACTCACAACAGAGGTTAATGATCTTTTTCTTACACTTTTGAGTAACTATCTTTAGGGTTATAAGTTTTTCAAAAATTTGATCTCCCAGTAGGTGGAAACTTACAAACAAATTAAATTAAAGATAATGTATTTCTATGTCAAGGGAAAATTAAAATGTGAAAATACTGCTATTAAAATATGAGAGCCAAAACAGAGATAACAGAAAAACAAAAGATATTTCAAACCTAACATTGTAACATTAATGTCTTGTTTGAAAACTATCATCATATTCCAAAAATTCTTAAAAGAAGTAGAAAAATCCTGTGACTTTTTTTTTTAAACTGAAAGTAGTCATAATTCCATAACATGCACTGGGAAAGAATATATTTATATAATTTTACATTAGTTCTTTCTTTTAAATTAAATTTTTCAATCCAGGAAGAAGAAATACCACAACTTGTTCCCCTAAGTTCGAGAAAACATTGGGGGAAAAAAAGCTTTTTTTGGTTTTGTTTTAGGGAAAAATAAACAAAAATGTTTTATAAATAATATTTCATAAAACCTAATGTGATTTTCCCTTTTAAGAAATGATGACAGCATTTTTATCATTCCCCTGCTTTCCCATTGATTTGTCATCATAATAATAGTTGCTAATGCAGATTCAGGACCCATTTTGTTCCAGGCTCATTTTATTTACGCCTAATAGCAGCCCTGTAGAGTATAGGCAGTCTGATTATTCCCATTTACCAGTGAAGGAACTGAGAGCTAGAAACATGAGAAAAATAACTTACTATGGTCATACTCCCTGTACTACAGTATATTGCTCTACATTATGAGGAACTTAAAATGTATCTCGTGCATAAACCATAAAAACACTTTTTCATTCACACTCTATTCTACTGTATACTTTAGAATTTCTATTTCATCAATCAAAATCTTTTATTCTGACCCATTAGTAACTACAGCGGACACTATACACTTTGGCTTTCTACTTCCCGAGGGACTGGCGGGATTCCTCCTCTCTTTCTGACTGGAATGTTCTGTGGCAGGTGGCTGATCACATTGTATGCCAAAGCCAGTCGTTATATGCATGACTTCAAACCTAGACTAAGTAGCAAGCTTTATGTGAGTTAATCCTTTAAGCCTTTCCAGACCTTTTACCTTTTAGAGAATGTTTACTTTAAAATTGTGAGTAAACTCAGTATTTGGTTCAGGTCAGG